GCACTGAGGGAAGCCGGCCGCTGCGCTTTCCTCCTGTCCATTCCCGGAGGGATGCGGGATGTGCTGCTCTATCGGAGCCTTAGAGACAGGCACTGATGCCGAGGCGGCATGGGTGCCCTGGCTGTTTGCAAACCGCCCCTTCCCTGGATTTCCTTCCCTCCCGCTCAGCCTGTCGAGGGAAAACGAGGGCGACTTGCCCGCGGCTGTGAGCGCCGTGGCCCGGGCTCCGCTGCAGGTACCCACTGGTGCGTTGGGCCCTGGGGCCGAGGGCACGTCTGTAGGCAGTCAGAGGGGGAATCAGCTGCTGGAGCGAGTGCTTTATTAACTGAAAGCTGCCTTGGGTAAGCCTGTGCCTCGCTGGGAGCGTGCAGAAGGCGTATTTGTATAGAGCAAGGAATAGGCTCCAACTCAATTTCTAGGTACTGCAGATAAAACATGACTGTTTTACTGCCCTTTTTTTTAAAAAAAAAAAGGTCCCTCCAAGGCTTTAAGTGCAGCCACTAAAAGCATCGTCTGGCCAGTGGAGCTAATGGGAAGGCTCCGACTGCCCCCGTGGCTCTCGCAGTGTTTCACCGTCACATGCAGGGTTGGTGCGCTGAGGGTCCGGCGTTCTGCCGGTGCAGCAGCGCTGGGGAAATCGGGGTCCTGGCAGTACAAACCATCATGGTGTCCCTTGCACTGCTGCCTGTTCAGGTCTCCCCTTCCCACCAGGAGGGCCTCTCAGGGAAGCCGGGTGCGGAGCTGGGAGAGGAGAGGCTGCGAACTACCTCCCTGCCGGGTGACCTGTGACGAGCTGCCCGGGCTCCGCCGGCGGGGAAGGAGCAGGATTGTAACTGCCCTGTCTTGGTTGTTTCCTAGTGGAAGAAGCACTGGTTTGTGCTGACCGACCAGAGCCTGAGATACTACCGGGATTCGGTGGCGGAGGAGGTAAGTGTCTTCCCCGTCGGCATTCAACCCATCTCTCTGCACTCAGGGGAGCCCCAGGTGCTCCCAAACTGACCCCGGGCAGATTGTCTTCCCAGATGCCGAGGTCCTGCAGCATCGCTCTTCAGGGCTTTGTGCTTCTTGAGGACCTGCTGCGTGCCTCCCTGCGAGCCCAGCGCCCTTTGGGGTTGCAAAGCATTAACGGCTTATTTTACCTCTTCCCTCTCCAGGCAGCTGATCTGGATGGAGAAATCGATTTATCTACGTGCTACGATGTTACTGAGTACCCAGTTCAGCGAAACTACGGCTTCCAGATCCACGTAAGGAAAACATGGGGAGGAGGAAGAGTTCGGCTGCAGGACAGCCGACGGGGCTGCTCATGCTATGCCGCTGCTTGGGGATGCTCGTCTGTGGCAAGGGAAGCGTCTCACCAAACACCTAAGAGAGGCCACCCGGCATCCCCCACAGTGCTCCAGAGAGCTGTGGCCTTGGGTTTGAGAGCCAGTTTTTTGGTTCACAAAAAATGGAGGGGGGAAAGGGAAGGTTTTGTCTCAGCCTTAGGGTCTCAGTTACGGCAAAATTAGCCTGATTGCTGAGAAACGCTAATTCCCACCGTGAGCGTGCTGGGGGATGGAGGGGCTGGGTGCGACCTCCGCGCGGCCGGCTAGCAGCGCCCCAGCGCTGGGTGCTTGGGACTGGGTGCAGGGTGGTACTGGGGGGAGGGTGGGAAGGTGCTGGTGGGTGCGATCAGCTGCTCTGAGCCGGTCCTCCTCTCTTCCTAGACGAAGGAAGGGGAGTTCACCCTCTCTGCCATGACGTCGGGCATTCGCCGCAACTGGATCCAGACCATCATGAAGCATGTTCGCCCCACCACTGCTCCCGATGTGACAAGGTAAAGGGGGGAGTTTAGCAGCCCCTGCAATTGTCTGGTTTGCTGTGCAGGAGTAACTCTTCCCTTATCCCCTTTCTTTCCTTTCTGAGCCTGTCCATTCCTGGAAGCTGCGGCTCTTTCTCCCATCCCTCTCTCTGGGCTTAATTTGGATACGCTTTGTGGGGATGCTGATATGCCGAGCTACTCTTACGCGTGCAGATTTCAAAGAGGGTTGAAAATGTGGCTTTAATTTGTGCATAGGAATATGAAATACTATCCTATATCAAGGCTCCTCTGGATTCCCACCAGGTATTGTGAAACCACTTGGATTCAGTTGTGCTGGGTTCCCCCTTTCCTCTGGCTACTGTTCAGCACGAGCTGCCCATCCCCTCCGCGGGTCACGGCAGCACGAGCCCAGGGTTCAACTTAGAAGCTGTTTGGCTCTGATACATTTTAAACTCCAGCCAGCAAATCATCTTCCCTCCTCTTTTGATCTTCCAGATAGCTGCCGCAGCTCATTCCCCTTACGCGTTAGTAATGCTCGCGTCTCCTCCTGCCGTCAGTGCCAGAGGAAGGGACCCCCCGCTTCACAGAGTACCTTCTGTGAGCGCTTGCGGCTGCGGGTAAAAGGTGTTTGACCTCCTCACAGCTAACCGCGCCAGCCACACTCGTACGGGCCACCTCTTACAGGCTTCGTGGACACGGCCACACCATTAACTTCGTCTCCTGTCCTTACCGTAGCTGCAACGAGCAGGTTTTTGCCAGGTTTGTCCCCGCATTGACGGAATGGCTCTTCTCACCCGGTGCTGTTGACCTGGAGATGCTCCGGCCTCTCCTTCCCCATCCCGCTTGGCACTCGGCCACCGTTTCCCAGCCCTGCCCGAGCTCTGGTGGATCTCGCGGGGGTCTCGGGGAAGCCGCCTCTCTCCTCACTCCTGTGTATGTTTGATTTCCATGCAATCCCAGGAAAAACTTCTCTTTGAAACTATCCGTGCTGAAGCCCAGGTTGGAAAACTGTGTTCTCTCCTGTATTAACGTTTTGTGGTTTGTATATCTCGTGATTCACTGCATGCTCCTCCTTTTCTGCACCTCAGATGGGAAGTCCTGCAGTTTCCATTTATTTTCTTTCTTTTCTTTTTTTTCCCCCCTTTTTTTTTTTTCTTTAAATAAAAGCCAGAGAGAAGGGAAGAAGCAACCTGGTCTTGACACTTGATTTCCCCACACTGGTATCTTCCGATGTGACTAGATACGAAGATGAAGACCAAGGAAATTTGAGGGGACCTTTCTGCCTTTAAAGAGCCAGATATATTTGTAGCCTAACAGGTTACTGCAGCACGATAGTCCTGTGCTCTGCGTCTGCTCTGAGCCCACGCGAAGTGGTTTGACTTGGCTTACCCCAGTGAGAGGGTCCAAGCGCAGGTACCAGTTGGGCAGTAACTTGTTACGCTGCATAAATAGACCAAGAATCTCCATCTTGAGCTGGGGAAAAGGGAATTATAGGTGCACTTCTGTCGTTTTCCACCGAGCTGGTTTCGGATGGGGTAGAGTCTGGCGTGGGTTAGTCGCGTTGCTGAGTAGCTGTTGCTGTGAGCTGGAAGGCTGTGCCGCGCGTGAAGTGAGGCTGTGTTCACCCGGTGCCAGCTCGCAAGCCCTTTGCCACGGCGCATAGGTGCGCGGGGTGTCCCAGCCCATCCCGCCTGGCTTCAGGCACATCATTAACATCTGCACCTGGGGAGCGGCTTGTGGACGGGGCTGCTGGAAAGCCGAAGGACAGACTGCCAAAGGCTCGTGATGGAGAGGTGGCAAACGTCTGCACAGCGCGGCCGGGGTGCGAGAGGGACGTTAGTCTGGATGCTCGGCTGTGCCAGGAGGGCGGCGGTGTTCACCCCGTCCCCAGGGCCGGTCCAACTCCACACGCTCCTGCAGCCTTCCGCCGCGTCTCATGAACCCGCTGCCATGTCTCCACCGAGCCAAACACACGTTTTCTTGGTTACTCAAGTTCCTAATTGCTGTTTATATTGCTGCATGTGTCAGCAGCCGGGGGGGGGGGCAGGTGCTGCACTGCTCCCTGCCCTCAGCAGTGCCCTGCAATCTGCAGAGGCACTAATTACACTCTGCTAATGATGACCATGCAGATATAAAATACCCACAAGAAAGAAGGTGGCTGCTTCAGTGCTGGGTGCTTTTTCAGCTCCCAGCCCCGGTGAGGCTGAGTTCCCCAGTGCCCCCCCCAGTTCCCTGCAGCCTTCACGTGCTTCTTGCACGCTACGGCAGCATGCTCGGCTCACAGCTTGCACCGCTCCCACAGCCACCCATATTAAAAAAAAAACCTTTTTGTTTTGACCTATAAATACCATTGCGAGGCAAAGGACCCCCCCACCTCCCATGTGATGTGAATTAATTTGTCTGGGATGGAGGAGATGTGAAATGCTTGAGCAGAATTAATAGCCATGGGGCACTTGCGGGAGATGAAACGAGAAACTTCAGGTCAGTCTTCTGAGTCTCTTAACTCAGTTCCCAGCGGCCGTCCCTCCGCTCCCTGACATGCATCCTATGCCCTTTGGAAAGCAGCAGAGGAGAAATGAGCTCGCGAGAGATGTCACCTCTAGAAATGCCAAGATTCTTCCATGTGGTATTTAGAGCAGCATAATTTCTCTTTCTCAACAACGCCCGAGGAGCCACAGGACCCCCTTTTTTCCTAGTGCTCTTCTCCATTTTAAGACTCCATCTCATCCCCACTTTACTTATTTAAAATCCAGCTGTAATCACTAACTGACTCCAGATTGAGCGCCTGGCTTTGGAGTCATGCAATATCTTCTAATGGTTGAGGGGCGAGGAGGTTTCATCGTGGTGCCTTTTGGGTTTATTTTATTAGCTGCAAGTGACAGAGCTGAAGAAGGAATTACCGAGCCTGTAACTGCCGGAGTTTCTTGAAACCCAGCTCTACTGAGCCTGTGGTTTGATCGTGGATGAAAGTGCATCGGAAGATACTAGCCCTGGACCCATGCAGAGTCATCTCTTCTGCTCCATTCTTTGTTTTGGGCACATGCACATACATGAGGTTGTTGGCTGCGGGAGCTGGGGTGTGTTACCAAGGCGGGAGGAGAAGCCGTGCTGCTGCTGCTCCCTCCCGGTCATGGCGGTCTTGGTGCATGCGGTCCCGTGCGTCAGAGCCCCGTTAGCGGTGGTTTGCCTGCAGCGAAGGGCCCGGGGAGCTGCTTTCCAGCTCTTCCCACTGCGCCCTTCTAGAAAGCTTGTCGAGGCTGCGCTGGAGGCTGGAGCCCGGGGGGATGCTGTGGTTGTACTGGAAGCGGGGAGAGCCAGGGGTCAGCCAAAGCAGCAGGGCTGTGCCGCGGGAGGCACCTCGGGGGCTTCTGATACAAAGAGGGTTCAGCAAATGCCTGCCACTCCCTCGGGACGGGCTTCCTCTGCAAACTTAGCATACTGCTATTTTCTTTTTTAATTTTGATCTGCATGTTACAAGGCTGGCATGTCTACGTTTAATAAGCTAATACTGCATTATGGATTATCCGTAGGTTGGAAACGGTATTGCCTTCCGCTATTAACTTTCCCTGCTTGACGAGTATGTCTCCCCTCTCAACCCACCACCCTAGAGGGGCACTAAAAATCATTCCTTGCTTGAGAAACCAGCATTTTCAGTGACTTCCGCGGTGTGTTGAATAACTCTTGCTCTCCTTGCTGCACCGACAACTGCACATAGGGCGTGCGGCCCCCGTGCCGGGATGGCTGCCCGTGCTGCCCGCGAGGCTGGTTTCCCCGGGTGAGATCTGTGCCTTCAGTGCAGATAGTGGCACGGAGAAGTTTTCGACCCATTAATACCCTGACTTTGCCAAGCTTGAGGAAAACCTTCCCCCTATTACCCAAGACCTCTGGGAGCTGCTCTGTGCTTCTCCGCCCCGCAGCTCTGAAGCCAGACTGACTTTGGTGGGACTGGTGGCATCCTCCCTGCAAGCACGTGACTATGGCCGCGTCGACCGGCGTGTGTGCATGGAGCCCCGCAGCCGGGGAGGCGGGCAGCAAGCCAGCCGGCGGGTGCCGGAGGAGCTTTCGAAGCCTCTTCCCCGCCTGGCAGGACGGTTCGGGGTTGCTGCCTCGGCCGCGGGCTGCTGCTGGGTCGTGGTTGCTGGCCCTGGGGCGGCTGCTGAGGAGGAGCGAGGTCGGGATCGACTGCTCTCCGGGGGCCGGGGGGTTGCCCAGGAGCAGCCGAGGCCGCTTGCACCAAGGCTTTGCACACCAGCGCGACCCCGGGGAAGGGCAGCGGCGGCTCCTGCACCTGAGGGGCGATGGGAGACAGAGGGGCTGGGGGGCACCCACGTGGCATTGGCTTGGGCTTCCAGCAGCCCCTTTCCACCCGGCTCTTCGAGGCATGCGTGGGAGCGCCTGGCCATCTTGAGCACCCACTGACGCTTTCCTTCACCCTCTCTCTGTCCTCGCAGCTCCCTGCCAGAAGAGAAAAGCAAAACAAGCTCTTCCTTCGAGACTGGTCCAAAGCCGAGTGAGAAGCCGGATGCGGAGCAAGCTGAGCTGGACCCAGAGCAGAAGCGGAGCCGTGCCCGGGAGCGCCGGCGAGAAGGACGGTCCAAGACCTTTGACTGGGCCGAATTTCGCCCCATCCAGCAAGCCCTGGCGCAGGAGCGCGCAAACGCTGCAGACTCCTCCAAGAATGGCTCTGCTGCCTTCCCCAGGGATGCCGGTGCTACCGACGCCGACCCGGGAGAGCTGGAGCGGGAGCGGGCCCGGCGGCGGGAGGAGCGGCGCAAGCGCTTCGAGATGATCGATGCCGTGGACGGGGCAGGGTCGGAAGAGGCGCTAAGGATGGAGGTGGACCGCGTCCTGCCTGTCCCGGCGGACATCAAACCACAGAACGTCCATGTGGAGATTGAGCAGCGCTGGCACCAGGTGGAGACCACCCCGCTGCGGGAGGAGAAGCAGATCCCCATCGCACCCCTGCACCTCGCCCACGCCGAGGACCGGGACGAGGGGCTGGCGAAGCAGCACTTGACCACGCTGCTGGAGAAGGAGGTAAAGCGGGGTGCGTGGGGTGCAGGCTGCCTGCCGAAATGGCCTTCAGACCACCGCAGGAACTGTAGGAAGCCTGAGCAAAGCTTAAAAAAGCTGAATTTATCCCTGATTTGTAAAAGCAACGAGTGGGGATGCTGTCGGGTCCCCTGGGGAGCTGGCAGGGCACAGCTCCGCGTCCGTTCCTGTTCAGCTCTGCCGGCAGCTTTCATGTTCCCACGGCTGCAGAAAGGGCTGTTCTTGCAACAGTAACTTCGTTACCCTCTCCCAGCCAACACAGCCTACGCTTCTGTTGGTTGTTAGCCAGCCTGCCTCTGATGAGATGGGTACAATTGATGTGTATCAACCAGACTCTAAATTCAAGCTCATAATTCTGTGTGCCTCTGCAGCTGTAGAGATTTGTGTCTACAAAACTATAAACCGGCTTGAGTTGCAGCACACACCACAAAGGTTCCCTTTTTGTGGAGCCTACATCAAGCAATCTTACAATTTTAGGAACAGAAAGGTGGAGACTCAGCTCACTCGGAAGAGGTCCACACCTGGGATAACAAAGGTTGTTCTTAGTTGGGATTAAGGTTTATTAGCGGGAATGAAAGGGGTGCAGGCGTGGAGTAACCAGGAGTATCGCCAATCTGAACCGGGCTGGGATTTGCCTGGGTCATGCCTGGCGTGAGCTGGTGCCATTCATCTTTTGCTGCAGTGAGCTTTACTAATTAAACTAATGTGTAACTTAGTTCTTTCGGGGGGGAGGGATTTTGCCTGGCAAAATGAAATCAAGATCCCAGAGCAGAGCAGTGGTGCCATCAAAAGCCCCATTCATTCTGCTCTACGTCCCCTCCGAGCCGCTTGCTCCTTACGGCCGATCCCCTGCCCACTCCCTGGACGCTGTCTCTGTTCGTGTCCCTCTAGCTGGAGCAGAAGCAGAAGGAGGCCCTGGAGCTCCTGGAGCAGAACCGGCACCTGCAGGACCAGCTGAAAGTGGCACTGGGCCGGGAGCAGAGCGCCCGGGAGGGCTACGTGTTGCAGGTAGGGGAGCGGGGAGGAGAGAGAAATCCGTCTTCCTCTGTGCCCGAGGGGGACCCCGGTGGGCTTCAGGCCAGGGTGTTCGTGGGGGCATCCTGGCTGACGCAGAGATGTGGGCTCCAAGAGATTTGTCCTTCTTGCAAATATTGCTAATTCTGTAGCCTTACCAGGATCCTCTGCTTAACAAAACCTCTGATCTGGGATGCAGTAGACAGAAGACAGCATTACCTACTGGTGTCCCCGAGGGAAAACAAAACACAGCCAATGGTAGACAGAGGGGACCTCAGCAAAGTCCACCTCTGATCCACCCTATACTGTGTTTGCCTATGCAACAGCTGTTTCCCCTTCTGTGCCCCAGATACTCCCCTCAGGCAGTGGGGTGCACATAAGGCTTTCTAAGCATCTTGTAGCCCAGCAGTTGCTCCTGGCCAGGGAGTTTGTGTGGCGGTTACGTGGGCAAACACAGCACACGCTGGCATATCTCCCGGGCCCGTTCCCCGCAGCCAGAGCGGGATTTGCACTGGGACGACCTGTGGTCTTGGATCACTTTGGTGGTTTCTTCTGTTACAAGATGCCTTTCCTCAGCAAAGCCTAGGAGCGTGTTTTGGAAGTTCTGGCAGAAGAGACGGGAGAGTCTCTTGGGAAGCCTTTCCTCCCCTCCTCCAAACAAAGCGGACTTTTTCCAGCCCTTCCTCTGGGAGTGTCCGTGCCCGGAGGAGCCGTGACGCCTGCAGGGCAGCTTCTGGCTGCTCTCATGGGCCCGTAGTCCTGTTTTGGACAGGGGCAGCGTTTTGACCTGTTCAAATCTACTTGGCCAAACTGGGTCTGGATCCAAGTGGCCGTGCGTGGCCGCACGCTGCGCTCCCGTGACAGCAAACCCGGTGTCGATGCTGAACCTTGCATCCTTATTTCTCACGGGAGAAATTTCCCCTGAAGAAGTTGCACAGGCAGTGGAGCCAGCCCAGGTAGGGGGGCATCTTGCCTTCCTTGCCGGTGATCTCCTTGGAGGAGTTATTAATGCATTTATTTCTGGATTCCCTGAGCGGACAGTGCTTGCTTGGAGGAGTTCCATTTTCACTTGGCAGTGTTGGAAGAGTAACTAATTCCCACTACCCTGGGGTGAAGGCATCCGACCTCCCTTTGCCTGGAGCCCGGAAAAATCAGGGAATGGTGCTAAAAGCTGGGTGCTGAATCCACTGTCAGATTGGCCGTGTTGAAGTTGGCCGTAGCGCCTCAATACGAGGAGGTGGGGCAAGAGGGGAAGTCTGCAGAAGGGCTGAGCAAATCATCGCTGCAGCGAGAAGTGACCCAAACTTCGATGTAGAAGTTGGAGAGGGTTTTTGGAAGGGTTGGAGGCTTTTGCTTGCTCCAGTCTAATTGTTCTGGGGATTTCCCTTATGTTTCCCCGGGAGCAGAGGGATTAAAGTCCTGTTGCAGAAGGGAGTAACCCCACCAAACCCTGCTGGGGTGGAGGGAGTGGAATCGCTGGGGGAGGTTCTGCAGCCCCAGACTGCGGGCAAACATCACAGCATTTTTTTGGATGGACCCTCTGAATTTCATGTGCCCCCCACCTCCATCATGCCTAATTTCGGAGAGGTTCCTACGCTGTCTATGGGGAGGGACGATGGAGGAGCCTGACTGCTGCCAGCCCATCCCTCCTGAGCTGCCCGGGGGGCACCAACCCCTCCTTGGCAGCGTGACCAGCCCCGTACGGACCCCCCAAGCACTGCCCCGACATAAAAGACGCTGCAGGTTTCGTAAGGCAGCCGCTGAGATACCCACCCCGATGCATGTGCCGTGCACTGAAGCCTCTCCGGCCTCGTGTAACCCCTCTCTCGCTCTGAGCTTCCTCGGGATGGGGCACCCCCACTTTGAACCCTACCGGGAGAAACAGCGGGGGCTCCTGCTCCTCGCAAATGGACTGGAGATGTTCCCCGGCTCCGGTCACGGCGGGCGGGAGGGGTCACGTACTAACCTGTCCCGGGCGGATGTTCTTGCATGTTTTTGGTGTAAAGCATGAAATTTGACTTAACATAACTGAGTGTCACATCTGTGGGCTTTCCTTATCAGCAACCAGAGTACAGCAAGGCAGGCCAAATTCCTAGGCTTAACGCTGTGCTTCTCTTGCCTCTTCCTGTCTGTGTATTTTTTTTAAAGATACATAATTTCTGTCGCCTTTTGCATGACTCTCTCTGTGAGTTTTCTCTTCGCATGCTACATTGCTTTGGTTTGAATCTCACAAAGGTTGGTTTCTTTTATTTTACATTCTCATCACACCTTTTCCCTCCCTTCACTTGTCGGGCTTTTTATTTTGTCCTTTGTTGGTTTTTTTTGCAGGTAGAGAAATTAGATCCTCCCTAGTCTTAAACTTTAGCATAACAACATCTCTTTAACGCAATGAGCAGCCACTAAGTCCTGTTTGGCAGTCACAGAAATGACATCGCCACGCCGGCTGTCCTGTCTCCCTGCGTTTGGGTGGGATGTGATGTCATTTGCTGTCACCTCACTTTCTGTTGTTGCTTTTGGTCGGTAGGACTGTGTTACCTGAACTGTGCACTTTTTGTTTCACAACAAAACGAACAAACGCGCTAAAAAAGCAGTTCCTTTCTTCTCGACCTGTTCCCATCCCCTCCTCCTTCTCACCCTTCCCGTTTTTCTCTCGTCTGTCCGTCTCTGTTTTACTGCTGGTGTTTCTTTTTCATTTTTTTTGGTTCTATTTGATTTTGTTTTTTTTTTTTTTCCTTTTAGCCTGTTACTGTACAGCTGTTTTGATGTTGTGGTCCGTGTTTTCTGTTACTGAAAAGCAGTTGTCGCTCATTTT